AGGCGACGGATGTGTTGGGCAATGGCGGTGGGAGTAGTGCTAAAAGAGGGTAGTGCTGGGAGCCCGTGGTATGGAATACCAGGGAGAGACCATGCAGGATCATCCGGTGTTCCAAAGCTGATGAATTGGCAAATAAATCAATACCGGTATTTTACGACTCCCTGCTCTTGACAGCCGCGCACGTAGCTGATGGTACGTCACGTCAATACGAAAAATCAACGCGAGTGACCTGCTGCTCACGTCGAAATTTTGAGTTTTACGCCAAATTTGACGTGAAATTGCGCGTCACGTCGAAAATAACGTACTTGGTAGGGACTTCAATTGAAAAACCAAATTCGCGAGTTTTGCATAAAACGCTACTTTTTCTAAACCGGGAAGGTGTGAGAAACAACCTGTGAAAATTTGAACCCAAAATTCCAAGGCAATCTAGAGTTATACTTATAGTCGATTGAAGATCGGAAAACGGGGGAGAAAGTAGTCACAGAAGTAAAATAATGCAAGTATGTACGTGAGCCGTGTGGTTTCCGTCCAGCACTGCACTATCTGGTACATACATTGTACATGGCGATACAGGATGTGTGCAACTGTGCATGTGTAATAGGTCGCCGAGTGGTATCAGGAGGCACACACAAGAAGACTGGTTAATATTATGTTCTTCGGCTCAATCTGCCTGAAGTTATGTATACAACTGCTCCGGCTCAATCTGCCTGGAGGGACTCGGAAAGGAATACAACTGCTCCGGCTCAATCTGCCAGGAGGGACTCTGTTCTGTTCTCTTATGTTCTGCTCTGCTCTGAAGAAATGAGTAAAGCATGGCAGCTTTTATAGGGCGAAAAGGAAGGAGATCATCATAGCGTCTGCATGAGCCATGAGTCATGAAAAAGGGCAAAAGTCTGTTGTGTCAGTCCAAACAGAACTTGGGAAGGCATAGCAACAGTATCTAAAATGTATAAGGATGAAAGAAGCAAACGGAACTTTGGAGGGGAACAGAGGCCAGGGAGGGCATTAGCAAATGGATGCAAACCGGATTTAGAAAGGGGCATGTCTGTGCTCATGACCTCAGTCAGGGTCAGGGAGGTACAGTACACCATGTGGGTGTTAGTTCTACATGTACATAATATAGGTGTGATGATCTAAACTAGCAAAGATATGTAGTATGCAATCCAGCAAGCGCAAGGGAAACACAAGTGGTGAGAAGTGATTATAATAATTAGCTTTGCAGGCTTGTCAGCAAAGGAGTGACAAGAGTCATGCAGTGCGTGTACGTGTACATGTGACATGATTAGAGGTCAGTAGATATTACATAGTACTAGCAAGGCAGGGATACTACACCCTCCCTTCCTACAGATAATCACGCCCTCGTGATTTTTCCAAAGTATTAAACAAGGCTTGGTAGACTGATAATAAAGTAGGGACCCTGTGTGTATAATGTGTGAAGGACCTGTCTCTCTGTGGAGCGGGAAAAATTTCGGACGGTAAAAAAAGGATGTGTAAAATCGCGTCACTGTGGACGGTAGCAGTTCTTCATTCTCATCTCTCTGGGACGGTACAACGGGAAAAGTAGACTCGCACATCATGTGGCGGTATATCATTGTTACATGGACTGGTTATTTGAGTGCGTGCTTGCAGGGTATACAGTATTTTGGGTCTGAAAACTGATTGCTTGGTCGGTACGGGGTGGACATGATCGGGATGGGTAATGAAAAAGGCTAGGAAACTTTGTGGTCAGAAACTTGAGAAAGCGGTCGTACGGAAGCTTCAGTGCGGCGAAATGTTGAGTGATCTAGAACTGTGTACTGCATGTATCTGCACGTACATGAAGGTATATGGAGAGTTGTGAGTCCTAGGCTGTTGGTCGAATGGTGGGATTGTCTGTGGGATGGAGTGGCTGAAGGAACGTGGAGGGCCTTGTGTATCGCGTGTAGTGTAGCCAACAAACTAAAGGTGAGAGATGTCAGCAGGGGAACAACTTTGGCAGCAGAACGAGTTAGTGAGAGGGATATGGCAGCAAGGAGCATGAGGGCAGACTTGAAACTACTGCTGGATGGTGGAGCTTGCATGATACGCGGCGTAGCGGGCATGATCGGGGTGGCATGTGTACTAGTAACAGTTGCATTTGACCGGGTTGATGATTGAGTAGGGATAGAGCAAGAATGGTGACATACCTGGGTTGAAGGGAATATGTGCCGTGTATCGCGACGACGATAGCAATAAGCTATGGCATGGCCAATCTGCTTGCAGGATCGGCAATATGGGCGAAGACGAAAGGGCCGACGTCGCTTGGGTCGTACATATACCGGTGGCTGTAGTCCAGGGACATACCGGGCATGGAAACTCGCTGAAGAATGATGGTGATCCATTTTGCCGAAATGCGTACGTGACAGCGTCGATCTGCTGTATGGATGGACTGACGAACCGGGATTCTGCATCGTTCTCAGGTCCTCATGGGTTTAGAAACGCGGTGGGGGCCAATTAACGGTGCTTTCCGCTCATCGTTCGAGGCTGCCATCAATGTAATAGGTACTAACAACGAGACTAACGACAACGATTGACTAAGGATGGTAACAACATAACATTAACAAGACTGAAGTTGCGTAAACAGATCTACAGGGACGAATTCACGCACCGCTGCCACCAGTGTAATAGGTAGGTTCGAGTCTTACAAAGGAATAACCACCGCTGCCACCAGTGTAATAGGTCGCCGAGTGGTATCAGGAGGCACACACAAGAAGACTGGTTAATATTATGTTCTTCGGCTCAATCTGCCTGAAGTTATGTATACAACTGCTCCGGCTCAATCTGCCTGGAGGGACTCGGAAAGGAATACAACTGCTCCGGCTCAATCTGCCAGGAGGGACTCTGTTCTGTTCTCTTATGTTCTGCTCTGCTCTGAAGAAATGAGTAAAGCATGGCAGCTTTTATAGGGCGAAAAGGAAGGAGATCATCATAGCGTCTGCATGAGCCATGAGTCATGAAAAAGGGCAAAAGTCTGTTGTGTCAGTCCAAACAGAACTTGGGAAGGCATAGCAACAGTATCTAAATGTATAAGGATGAAAGAAGCAAACGGAACTTTGGAGGGGAACAGAGGCCAGGGAGGGCATTAGCAAATGGATGCAAACCGGATTTAGAAAGGGGCATGTCTGTGCTCATGACCTCAGTCAGGGTCAGGGAGGTACAGTACACCATGTGGGTGTTAGTTCTACATGTACATAATATAGGTGTGATGATCTAAACTAGCAAAGATATGTAGTATGCAATCCAGCAAGCGCAAGGGAAACACAAGTGGTGAGAAGTGATTATAATAATTAGCTTTGCAGGCTTGTCAGCAAAGGAGTGACAAGAGTCATGCAGTGCGTGTACGTGTACATGTGACATGATTAGAGGTCAGTAGATATTACATAGTACTAGCAAGGCAGGGATACTACACATGCATGCAGTGTGCACGCATGCCGTGCGCGCCTACTTGCACAAGTCACACGTTTTCACCGTCACTGCTTCTACAGCGTGCGCGCAGTTCACCATGGTTCACTCGATTTTTTTCGTCTACCACCAGGAAATCGCCGTGGGCTGGTTTCTGTGATCATCTTCCTTCTACCGTGATAAAGCGCGAGCCTCAATGTTCTAGAATCCTCTTGGTTTAGGCTAATTCGAGGCGCTGAACACGAAAATCGGGTGTTCTTCGTGGGGCCGAGTACGGATCTGGTCGAAATTAGTACTTCGAAGTGCATCCGCGCCAAGCGCGGAGTACAGTACTATCGCCGCGGAGGCATTATTTTTGGAAGCATGGCATGTGTAATGACCTCAGCTACCTACATACTGTAAAAGCAGAAATTTTCGGTGGTGTAATATTTTCGGTATTCGCCAAAATCGGCGGTTCGGTAGCGGGAAATTTTCGGTAAAACCCGTTCTCCAGGTAGGTGTACTAGTACTACATGTATACAGTATCGGTTGTACCGAAAATTTCGGTGCGTTTTATTTTCGGTAAAAATTGTCGGCACCGAAGTTACCGAAAATAAAACACCACCGAAAATTTCTGCTTTTACAGTAGCATCAAGAGTAGATAAACAAGAGTGTGCAACTCCGGATCTCTCCTGCACAATCTGCAGATACCCCGCGCCCACGGCGGAATTTTTTGTTTACGTCACCTTTTTTCAGAGAAACGCGGCTTTGCCGCAGAGCAGTGTGAGAGCACGTGCTGGGCACCGACCTTGTAGTGTAAAGCCCAGCCAAGTGCACGAGGGAAAACTCTCCAAAAGGCTCGCAGCGCGTGCGTCGTCGAAAAGATTACGTCAACAAAAAATTCCGCCGTGGGCCAATCCATCCGGAGTTGCACACTCTTGTTTATCTACTCTTGGTAGCATCGACAAGGCCGAAAAGGCCGCGGGAGAAGATACAGTACTTGGGCCTCGAACTGCATCTCGAACTGCAGTCACGAGGCGCCCATTCACTTTGTACAGGCGAGCTGTGACTGCACTTTTCGCTTTTCTGTGACCGGAACTGAACTCCCTACTCTAGGGGCGCGTTTGGTTGGTACGAACTAGAACAGGATTCACCAGAACAGCGCGTTTGGTTGGGACTGCACCTGTTCTGGGTCGGCCAGAACATGTTCTGCTTGCTCCGGCCTCGAGGCCGGAGCAGACCGAGCAGTTTCACTTTTTCACAGTGAAACCTGGCGGGAACATCGATTTTGTTCCCAAATGATCACGTGCATACGCTTTTGGGTTAATAATGGTTGGACTCGTCGTACCGTACAAAGTGACCATGGTGATCCATACACATTTTGAAAAATGCACCAAGTTTAGCACATTTTTCCACAAAAATGTGCTCTGTTTCTGGAGTAGCGTTTGGTTGGCATGAGGCTGCTCCATGTGCACCAGCTGTTCGATCCTGTTCTAGATCGTACCAACCAAACGCACCCTAAATCTTGTTATTGGTGATTAATTATGATGATACCGTAAAAAAGCCAAAAAAATCTTTTAATAAATACGCAATTAATTTTTACTTCAGTTCAAGCTTGAAACTGCTTTGAAATAATTAATTTCTGTTATTATCTTAGTTGTCTGGCTCTCCTGTGCTCTAATCTACCCTAGGGGTATGGCGAGACTACTTTTGGGAGCACTTCCAAGGAGTGCCCAGTTTTGCTTGTCTCCAACCCTTATCCAAGTCAGACATGCGCAAAAACGCAAAAAGCCCATCGATTTCTATTCGTTGAAGGCGCTAGAAGTCCAATCCGCCATTTCCGAAGAATTCGAGCTGCCAAGAATGATGCTGAGGCAGGCGAAAGGCGGTGGCAGTGGAAAGGCTAAGCCTGGTTTCTTAGTTTCGGATGTGTCAGGTCAGTTCGTTGTTTGTTACAATGACGTCGTATTTCTTGCACCATGCATACCGTATTTTCCCCAATAAATGTACAGTACTTTTACTTTTTCAAAGGTGGTCTGACCTGTACAAGTACTACCATAGGAGACTGTACTAGTATTGGAGACGTGTACTTTTATCGTTTCTGGAAAGATTGATTGGCTGGGTTGGGTGGCACACATCTCGTGATAATGATGCTGTAAGGCTGTAAATACATCCAACCATGGTAATGGGCCATTCACACTACGCCCAAAACGTGGCGTATACCACGGCTGTTCACACGCAGGCACTTATAAATATGGCGTCGTTCGGTGCGATTTATGTAACATTGTGCGAATAGTACAAATACGCGATGAGTTTGCGTCTTTGGAAGAAACTCATGTCGATCCTCGTGTGGTTCCACGATTTGGGACACGAAACCAAGAGAAAAGTTTTGAAAGCGCTCAAGCGAGATACTCGACTTTTCGGCAATTTGAGAGAGAAAGAGGGTGGAAAGGCGTCCTGGCCTGCCCAGTTAGCTGTCTTTCCGCTTCAAACTTGCTCGAACTACTCCTGGCAGTCTGGAGATTGATCCCGCCAGTGATTGTCAGCGTCTGCTTGGCGTGCTCGCGTGTACAACATTCAAGTTAGACATTTCGTAATCGTTCAACGCACAATAGGGTAGATATCACAATTTCAAGCTCACTTGGCCGGCTGCTGTCTTCTACAATATCCCACATGCCGACTAAGCAATTTACAGCAGGAAGCAGCCTTCTACACTCAACAGCAACTAAAGGGCCACACCATTTGTCTTCCAAATCAAGAGAAAACAGGCTCCTGACTCGTCGCGCGTATTTAGAAGTTCACGCGCGTATTCTAATGACACTTGGGGAAGACAACCAGAGGATAGTCCTCTACCTGGGAAAGTATCGATCTAAGCTGGGAAAAATCCGGGAAGGGCTTCTCGGAGCCGAGTTTGTCAGCGACGACACAAGGAGTATTCCAGAACGAAGCCAAAGTCGCACGACACAGAACAAATGTTTCTTGAAGGAAAGACAGTCATGTGAGGTACGAGCGGAAAGCTTGAAACAAGACGCAGATGATCAGCGTGTTCCCCGGGCTGTCCGGGCTTACTAATCTCCAAAATCCAGGGGAAACCATGGCCTACTCGTGTTCTGACGATTTGAAAATTCAAATTTTTCTTGCCATTGAAGCCCCATCGAGACTTTCGGCGGCCATATTGTTAAGTGGCGTGAAATCGCACAAAAAAACAGCAGTGCGTACGTGACGTTTTCGTCCGGATAGCCATGACAACATGGAACGTCCACCATTACACTGCGCTCTTTAGTCGTGGAGGGAAAATCGTACCCCTGATACGAGAACGTAGACGACGTATCCAGACCCCTGTACCGAGTTAGGTTCTGTCGTTCCTGGCAGTTTGTGTCCGAAAGAAGCTGTACACACAGCTGTACGAGCAGCGTGTACGTGCCTGTGTGAATGCATCTGCATAAAAACGACGTCTGCCAGTACGTCCTATTCCAAAACGTGATGCGTATTGTAACCTACAGTCCATTTCAAAACTATAGACGCGTGGGTTTTTTGAAATATTTCAAATTTGGCTGGAGCTTTTTGAGAATCGCTTTCGGAATATTGCTCAGGTCCGCTCCACAATAATTTATTACTCTCATATAGTTTCTAACCGATTGGATAACAGACGCCCAATTTGGAAAAATTTATGCACAAAGTGATCACAGATTTTATGTGGTATAGATGCTGGCATAACGGTTTTTGCTTAGGTACGCGTCTATAGTTTTGAAATGGACTGTAGTATGAATAGCCTATAAGAATCAGTGTACATAGACACAAAGATGATGAACGGGTAACGAAGTAAGGTGGACCCTGGTGCCTGTACCCCAGTAATGCCCATCACATCATTCCGGCATGTACTATTAATAATAATAATAATCCACCCGCCTGCGTGGATTCACAGGAAGTGTGAGTTACGAAGTCTGAAGAAAATGTTGAACGGCCTCTGCTAGGATAACGACTACACCATAGCTCAGTGGTTAGAGCATCGCTGGCTACAAGCGAGGGTCCCTGGTTCGAGTCCTGGTGGTGACAGTCAATTTTTTCTTCAGACTTTTCCCGTTTGTCTCTTTCCCTCAAACTAGTTAATAATAATAATAATAGTAATAATACTTTAATAACGAAGGTACGTTTTGGGTCATAAGTATCCACGCAACCACACATCCAGTCAAAATACGGCACTTGTCAAAGTATCCGAATGTTCTCGGTCCCTTCTCATCAAGGATTACACAGGGAATGGCTCAAGTTGAAAAGACTAAAACTTATAATTATAGCGTAAAGATAATTAGATAACAACACTCGTGACATATGTTGTTGCCACTATTAGTATTTTCCTTCGAGTTTTGTGTCGTGCTGAACTTGATAATTTTCCACCTTGTCACGAGTGTTGTTATCTAATTATCTTTACGCTATAATTATAAGTTTTAGTCTTTTCAACTTGAGCCATTCCCTGTATAATCCTTGATGAGAAGGGACCGAAAACGTTCGGATACTTTGACAAGTGCCGTATTTTGACTGGATGTGTGTTTGCGTGGATACTTACGACCCAAAACGTACTTCGTTATTAAAGTATTATCCGCCTCCGACCTCTTGTAAAAAAATAATATTAATAAGGCCACACTGAAAAAAGTCTGTGGTTCGACTCACCCGACCGACCGTACATTTTTCAGCCCGACCGTAACTTTTTTTTCGGCGGGCTGTCGTGTGACTGACGTACGTGGACTGAACACGTCCACGTCTACGTGCTTTGCAGCGTGAGTCTGCGGACGCAGGCGGCTTCTTTTGGACTTGACTTGTAGTTTCTCCCCATTACAAGTCACAGTCTGTTTTCCCTTTACCGTTTCTGCTGTACAATGCTCCAATTAATTAATGTAGATTTCACGATTTGCCACCATACTCTTTACTCAACACATCTGCCATAGCACTGTTCATTGGGTCCGGAGGGCTGAGTCACACATACTTCTAAGTCACATTTCTGCCACACAATGTTTCAAAGTATTAGCCAGTGATCCCTTTATACAACATGTATGGCATAACACTGCGTAATAATGCCGATGTACTGGGTGTCTAAAGGCAGTACAGTGTATTTACATGTACTAAAAAATATATTTAAAAAAAATCCGCCCGCCCGTAAAAAAAATGTCCGTGTTAGTCGAACCACACATCTTTTTTAGTTTGGCCTAATAATAATTTGAAACTCGGATGTTGAGCCATAAATAAATGTAGAAAAAAGGACATATGGATACGAGTTAAGAGTAACTCTCCATCACTGTAACTGGATACTATATACAGTCAGAAAGTGCAATAACTTGGCACAGAACTGACAGAGTACTGAGACATTTTTTCTACATTTATTTATGGCTCAACATCCGAGTTTCAAATTGCACACCTGATGAGCGGTCACGAACCATACGGCGAAACGTACGTCGTGTGAAACAACTTGTTTTGTAGTCAACTAGTCCATCACAATGTCATGCATGAGGAGTACTGTAGGAGTTTGGCTTTCGGCTTGTACAATTCGTTTTCGCAAAGCTTCCCCTTTCTTTACTTATCTTTGATATTTATGACCCACCCAAGTTCAGCCCTCACCAACGCTGTACAATGCGTCACTGGCCCGTTTCTCAACGGTCGCGCTAATCGACCAATCAGCGTACAGCTAATGTACCAAAATTCTCAAACTTACCGTAATTCCTTGGTTCATACGGTGTAGTTTCCAAAGATTTTTTATGGACCAACGTCTTCTTTCGATAGATACCAACAGATCGTCCGCTTCTAATTTTTCGATTTGATTGCCGTTTGGCCGAAAATTACCTCCGAAACCGGCCTCCACTCGTTTCACTTCAAGGCTCTCCAGGTGGACGGCATCGCAATTCGGAAGCGGAGAAAGGATAGCCAGTGAAAAAAGAAAAACAACGACGTATTGGTTGTCAAAATCGACCAAGAAATGAATTCAATAGACCTGTTTCCGTGCTGCGCCCTCGCGGCCCGCGCGAGTGCGAAAGGGATTCTTTCTCGACAAAACAAACAACAACTACGCGCAGTACACAGGTACATGCAGGTGCTTTTTGCAGTGCAGTACACTGACATCACTGCACTGGCTGTATATACCTTAGGAATATCCTGTTCTTTTCCAAGGCATGATTGTCGCTAGTGGGAGAACTCAGCCACCTGAAGCTTTCATAAAGGAAGAAGTAGTAGGTGAATGAGTTCGCCAGAAAATGGAACGACAAGAAAATAGATACTGTTGCTTTCCGGGGCGCTCATGAGACGACGGCAAGATAGGACTGAAACGATCGACAGTCTGCCTCGACGCAAAAGAAACTCTTCTAGGAGAAGCTTGACGTGCTGTAGAGTTTGCAGTATTCTGCTGGAAGAAGACAAGAGAACTAAACTCAGACTACAGCGTGGAGCTGAAGCACGAGCGAAGCAAAAGCTGAAGCAAAAGCTGAGCGAGTTCGAAGAAATGGGGAAACACAGGAAAATGAGTGGGCGACATGATCTTTACTGACTTTAGCTCGAAGCTCGCGCTAAGACACGCGGTGGGCACGTGCGCCTACGGGTAGCGCGGCCAGCCACCATGTTTTCAAAATGGAGGTCGACGCTTTTGAAATCCGTGTAGACGATGGTGAGGGCTGAAGTTGGGTGGTGTGCTGCTTTTTCTGCTTCGAATTGTAGTTAGACCGCTTTGTCAAATATCGTACTAGTCTCGTCATCGTCCAGTAACAATCAACATTCTTTGTTCCGTTGGGACTGTAGCTTTTGCTCATTTTCGTCGCGCTTGCCTTCCCCTCTTTGGTCTTTTCATAACCTTGAACCTTCCAAGTTGGAAGGCTGTCGGTTAGCGCTACGGAGATGTGTTGAAGCTAGGTGTCAGGACGTCGAATGTCTCAGTACTCTGTCAGTTCTGTGCCAAGTTATTGCACTTTCTGATTGCATATAGTATCCAGTTACAGTGATGGAGAGTTACTCTTAACTCGTATCCATATGTCCTTTTTTCTACAATAATAATAATAATAATAGAACAGTTCGCGTACAAGGCAGCAAATGCTAACCTTTCCGCTTCTGTCTCTTTTGAGCTCTGCTACATGTGATGGTTGTGGAAAAAGGAAAAGAAAAAACCCGAGAGAAATGAAAGTGCACAACCGGATAGAGGTGTGTATGGAGATGGGTGTATGTAAGTACGCGCATGTATGTGCTAGTGTGAGTGCGGGGAAGTGTGCGTGCGGGGAGGTGTGCGTGCGGGGAAGTGTGCGTGCGGGGAGGTGTGCGTGTGGGGAAGTGTGCGTGCGGGGAGGTGTGCGTGCGGGGAGGTGTGCGTGCGGGGAGGTGTGCGTGTGGGGAAGTGTGCGTGCGGGGAAGTGTGCGTGCGGGGAAGTGTGCGTGCGCGTGTGGGAAACGGAGTGCAAGCACTGAGCGGCCAAAATGCAGCGGTTACTGCTTGAACGTTCAGAACGGAGTCACTGAGCGGAGCGGACAAAATGCAGCAGTTACTAATGGAACATGGCACGCCACTGATTCTTGTCAGTGGCAGTGGCGCGGACCTCTTCCAAGTCCCCCACACTCTTCAACGGGATGTTCCTTTCTTGGAGGTCCTTGATGACCGTGGTGGCGAGTGTTGTCTTCGATCTACCACGGTGGCCGGTAGCGTCTCGCTTCAGGTAGCATGTCATAGCTCTGAAGGCAGGTGCATTGGGGTCCATATTATTAGAGACGTGTCCTTTTATATATTTTGATCCACACTCAACATATACTACAATTGGAGACGTACTGGTATTGGAGACGTGTACGTTTAATGGGAAAAATACGGTATATTGTGTATGCCCTTTGACTTCTCCACTAAAATACGTGTGACATTTTCACAGGCATTTTAGTGGTCTTGTGCAAAGCCACGGCATTACACAAGACCATATGCTTACAGATGCATGATTGTATTTTTTGTGCCCATCTACCTGTAGTATAGTTCACAAGCCCGAGTGGTGGTCTTATGCAAGAAGGCAAGCTCGCCTTGGGACATGAGCTTAGGGATACATTGATGTACATGTACAATCAAACCTTGTTATGACGAACACTGAAAAGGCAAACGTTCCTTTAGTACGAACTAGGGCCAGTCCTATGGTTGGCCAGACATCATATCAAGTCAAAAATTATTCGTTTGCGACGAACTCTGTACGGCGAACTTTCATGAAGACGAACTAATTTCAATCGTGATTTGAACAAAATCAGCATGTGGTACGAACTTTCGGTCCCCGTGGGTACGCTGGCTGTAGTTTTTTTCCGATAGTTAAGGCCTCTTGTACTGGCAAAACATGTTACAAGGCGGATGTAATGCTGTCCTGAATTCATTGCACATTGTACTTACCTGTTGCTGGGTTATGTAATGCGAAAAATGTTTTACATTTGCCACGACATGCACGTTCACATAAATACTATCCATAATATGATATGCATATCAATTTTTTTGGCAGATCTGGATAAGAACTTTATTAAAGGGGAAGTTAAAGCTAAAATTAAATTTTCACCATTTGTAGTCTTCGGGGTGCTGAGTCGAATGGTCTTGGTCCGAGGAAGCTGAGACGCTCCCTTCCTACTTTAATCCCAATCGAACTCGCGCACTTCCACCGAAACTGGGTGACTGCGCCCTACTAGATAGGGATTTGTATGCAAAATGTCACTAAAAGCGCCATTTCGTTCTTATAAAAGCACGGATGACCGCGATTGGCCCGTATGTTGTAGTCTTTTGGACGCTGAGTCGACTGGTTTTGGCCCGAAAAGGCTGCGATGCAGCGTTCGGCCCTTATTCCCAATCGAACATGCTTGAACAAGCGGTCACGTGCTCCTGCATACACCAGTCACCTGGTCACTTGAACTTGTTCGGTCCCTTGAAGTTGGTCCTAACGAGTTAACTGTATTTCAAAAGTATAGACCTCTGGACTTTTTCGAAAAAATTCAAATTTGGTTTGAGCTTTTAGAGAAATTTCTTCGGAATAGTACTCAGGCAGCTCTCGCAAATTTTTTTGATCGCCGCTGTGCTACTGGCACTATGTATTCGATAAACCTTGTTTTAGTTCACACATGTTGTTGGTTTGACACCATGAAACGGTGTCCTCCACCTTGTTTCATGCTGTCAAACCAACCACATGGTACTATGTAGTAATGGGTTGGTTGACGTATCGCTGGCACCAGGGCCGGGGAGTGCCTCTTGCTATCTCTCCCGGTGGATTCTGCTTCTGTGAACCATTGCAATGCGTACCAATATCAGACAGTACACCACTGACGATGAGGGCTGGCAAAGTTGGGCTATGCCCAGCTTTTGCGGCCTGTCCCGGCACCAATTCCATACCCTTTTTTTTTTAGGAAAAGTGGTATGTGAACCTTGCACGCCGGTGATCGCCCATACAGGGACCTAGGCGTTCTTGTGACTTTATCAAAGTTTGCATGCGTATTTTAAACTACTATTTTTGACACCATCGCGTACTAGACCACAATAAAACGTGTAGAAATAGTTTCAAAATCTGCAGTAAAAAGGTAGCACAAAGTGGCCATCGCCGGAAGATCCTTACTCTCCCATGAACTACTGAAGAAACATAGAATTCAAGATCAAAGTGCCAAGCTTGACGTAGCTTTTGGGCACATTTCGTACTACTGTGTAATAGATTTGGTACTACAGCGGTACTCTAACCGTATGCACTTGATCTCCTTTAGTATCGGGGCTGATCGGGAGCTGTCCCACTGCTGGTGCAGCCTACCAGCGCATACTTGGCTTATGTGAGTCGCCCCTATACAGATGGAGAATACACACAGCTTTGATCTGGAGTTTCATGTGGAGTATAATGGCATTGTTAGACATGTATGGATCCGTTTAGAATATCAGCATTGCCCCAGTCTCCAATACTAGCCCAGTGTCCAGTAGTAGCACGGGTAGCGGGGTCAGTGAAGAAAAATAGGAACCTCGCGCTCTTGTTGGAGAGAATACGGTTAACGCACATGCCCAGTTTGAGGTCGAATTATCAAACATTGTCATGTGGAAATCGTCTTGACTGAAATTGGTCCTGGAAGAAACTTCGAATTATATAGGCGGTGTGTATGAATTAATCCATATTCGAATTATCAGGATTCCACCTTTAGTGCTGTTCAATGGTTATTATCTTTTTCTCATGTGCTTATTTTCTCCCTGACTGCAGGTGGCACTGGTCAGTATTTCAAGATTGTAGTTCTGTCGACCAAATTTTTAGGTGTATCGCCCTCGGACCGCAAAGACATGGTGTACAATGTAAGACTTGTTGTTACCTGATGGGAGCGCTGCATTCTAGTGGGACCCCTTCATACTATCTGAACGCTGCATTTTCTGGTGTTGTTGTTGATTGCATCCAAGTTGTCAGAGCACATATGTGTACATTTAGGTTGCGTTTGTTTGGGTAATTTCAGAATGTAAATGATAAACATTCTAGAAATGTGTATGAATCACCTGACCAAACAAACCAGAATCAATTAGGAATCACTTGACCATACAACTCCATGATGTCGTTGTGGAACTGCGGCTCTCTTCTCTTTACCTGGCTCCAGTTTCCTTGAGAGAGAGAGAGAGTCAAGTTGCTTCTGAGTGCATGATTTGAGGCACTTGAACTGGTCGCTGCATTGTTTGTCTCGTGGCAACCACTATCCCTTTTGATCTCAGAATGAGAATGCTCATTCCAGCATGTGAGGTGGAATGATAATGCGATTCCCATGCTGGAATGGGACCAACCAAACGGAATTTTTTGACCAAACAGATGAGCAATAATAATTCCCAGTGTTCCCACTGTGGAACGTGACCAACCAAACCCACGCAACCATAGGTTCCAGAGGGATATCCGGTCATCATTGGCAACTGCATGCTTCACGTCAGGCCAATTTCCTGAATCTTTTACGAGAGGGCATGCATTTCTCAATATGCGAATACTCCACTGTAATCATCCATTATAACCATACATGCTTACGCCACTCTCCGAGAGGTCTCTGGGCTACACTGGAAAAATAACATCATCCGAACTTTCGGGCAAGGCCCATGAGTGATTTTCAGTGATTGGTGTAGCCTAGAGACCGCTTGGAGAGTGTTGTGAGCATGCATGGTCATTTACAAGAGGAGAAAATATACAAGCTAAGATGTTTTAAAGAAAGTGAGAGGGAGAGAGAGAGAGAGAGAGAGAGAGAGAGAGAGAGAGAGAGAGAGAGAGAGAGAGAGAGAGAGAGAGAGAGAGAGAGAGGAGGAGAAGGAGGGGGGGGGGGGGGATCTACTTTGTAAAGAAGATGTGTATGCTTGTATAGATTTTGATTTGCCAGACCTAGCTCTAATATGCTCATATAGAGCAACCCATTGTATTGCCGTGGCTGGTAGTGAGGAGTTTTACAATGCCTGTCGGGGCTTTTTCTTCTTCCAATGCTGCAGTGTGTCTCGCACCTTATGGACAAATACCAGCTTGACATCCGATGCCATGCAATCGTGAATAAGGACACCAGTGGCGAAATAATCAAGCCTTCTGAGGCTGCTGAGGTGTAGTGTTATGTAGTCCAGTGCCTCTCTGGATAGTCTCACACACATGTTCTGGGTGCTGGATGGCCGGACGCTCGCCATGCACCCACCCCAAACTGTACAGCTGTATATATTATATATATGCAAGAACTTAACTTCTTAACAACACTGGTTGGCATTGCTGATAAGCATGCCTGCCTTGCACAATAGCATGATGAGTGAATGTACATATACCATGTTTTATTGAGCAAATTTTAACAAGCCAAGCTGTAGAATGATACTCCGTGTGGAAGGGGATGTTTGGAAGTACACTGCTGCTCAAAGAAATTCAGTCGAGAGAGTAAATTTGGCGCCGTGCACCTTTTCGCGGCCCAGTGTTGGCAGGTCTAGGGCTGCGCTACGCCCGGCGCGTACTTGAGAAACTCGACTGGATTTCATTGAGTAGTACTGTCCAAGGCTAGTGTTCTCGGATTGGAAGTGTTGATACTTCAAGTATGCATTATGGCTTACTTGACAGCCACACTATACAACGCGTTCGATAATATTTAAAATCAAAATGGTTGGTTTAGATCCAAGCCAACTGTGGAATTGTTCCCGGCTCCCAGGAAAGGAAACGCAGTGCCACACAGAACAAGACAAGTTTGGATAATTTGGAAACGTCTCGCCCCCAACGCGAAATCAATATACAAGACCTGAGAAGAGAAATCAAGCCGTTGCCACGGCTAGCTGGTTTGTCACGGTAGCAGTAGCGTGCACTTCAGATCCCAGCCAAGTGATTGGTGGATTACAGGCTGACAGTGTTAGTGCCTATACAATATGTTCAAAGAAAAGAGATCATGTTGTTGATGTCTGCCCTGTCACCATTATTACAACAATAGTAGTACAGTAGCAGTACCATGCACTTTAAAAAAAATCTCGCTATGCATGGCCAACCCAGGTGGTGACTCATGGATTCAGGCATAAGTCCGAAGAAAATAATATATTATTAGAATGCGCACTATCCTGGCAATGCACTTGTAATGCTGATTATACAGATTTCAGAGTTTGATACCTCTCTCGTGCTATAAGAACTGGACGCTGTGTTTGGAGTGCAACGATTAGCCTGCAACGTGCAGCACCTTGACAGCTATGTCCTCACCGTTCTGGTGCCGTCTTTCATGAGTGTCGCCATCCGTTACTCTTGGCTGCTGCTGCTGCTTTGATTCTTACACTTGAATTCTTCATCTGGATACCGCTTGTCAGAATAGATAAACATGCCGATTTTCTTGATGGAACGACGTTGATTCGCAAACCACGTGGCCGCCTGCTGCATTGTCATGGTTGCCTTTGCAGCCAACGCACTCATTTCGACTTTGTTTGGGTATGGGTGCATGCGGTGTTGCAGCAGCCACTCTTTCATGTGCCTGGTTCGTTCATGGTTCTGCTGGAGGGGCGACATGTTTGGGTTGAATTGCCTGTGTTGGGTCAGCAACCGGTGAGTCCTGTGCAGCATCCCGACACACACACACACACACACACACACACACACACGTACACACACGTACACACACATGCACACACACGCACACACACACGTACACACACATGCACACACACGCACACACACACACACACACACACACACACGCACACACACCAGCATGACCGGAACATGCAAGAAAGTGTTTACATTAGAGAGGTTAAGTTTCACGTAAAAGTCTTACGTCCGTGAACTTTTACGTCAAAAAGTGAAAAAACTCACGTAAAATTTGACGTGTTTTACGTGAGTTGACTGTCCCGCACGTAAGTTCATGACGTGAGTTTTTGGAAGTTTCGCTTGGTTATTCCGGCCGAATTTGTGTGAGTTTCCGGAATTATATCGAGTTTTATCGAGTTTGTTGGAAGATTTAATATTTGTGCAAACTAAACCCGAATCCTGCCAGGCAAAATTTCACGTCACGTCGCACGTGTAACTTAACCTCTAAAAATTACACGTAACGTGAGATTTGCACCGCGTTTTGAAAAAGGGCAAAAAACGTGTAACTTAACCTCTCTAATATGTTCAACGCGTCGCTGAAAAATAGAAAGGCCGAAGATGAACTGTGAAAGTTTTTTTGCTGACAAAAATTGTACTTCTTTAGTACTTATTCTGCAGACAGCTGTTTGTTTGGGCCTGTGGTGATCGAGGCTCATCAGCGGAGCTCATTTTCATTGTTTCGAGCTAGATTTATTTTTCAGCTTCACGAGACAATCAACAGAAAAAAGGTACATGTGGTTTGAATGGAAATTGTATCTGGACGCACATCACGGTTAGCAGTACAGTGCTGTACAGTAGTCAAGTGATCCAAGGATAGCCATGTGCTCGTACCCATGCAACGGTCACTCTTCTTTGACTGGGAGGTGCATTAAGTGCATTGCCTTACAATCAAATATCTTACATAACGTGTTGAGGACCGGTAAAGTATCCATTGCTGTGGACAACCTGAGGCTGGCGGTGCTGACCAAATGCAGCCTGGCTGGAAGAGTGTTGCCGGTGATCATAGCAGCGCTGGTGCTCGTGAGGTACTGGTGTTGCACTGGCAGACGATTGCTGTCCTAGTCCAATGCCGTTCTGCAAGAAAGTGTCCAAACAATATATTCATTCTCAACATGTGTGAAAACCAGGCCTTGGACCTCTAAGCTACTTGTACAAGTTCTCTACCACTAGCCTCTCATGAATAAAGTAGACAGCAACATCATTATTCTTAGGTTTCATTGTGTTTTGTTGGTTGCAGGATAGGTGGGGCTGATAAAAAAGGCTCTCTTCCACACCACTGTAATGATTTTCTAAGCCAGAGGCAAAGAGTTTCCTGGACTTCACAATGACTGTGATTCCGGTGCAAGCCCACGCTTGTGGAATAATGAGATGAACTATTCAAGAATGCTAGTAAGCGTTTCTGACTTACTGTTACGGACCCAGTAGTTTGAGGCCACTGGTGCTGAGGGAGTGAGACTGCCGGTTGAGTTCTCGCATTCACTGGTGGCTGGCATTGCTGTATGTCATTGGCTGTACCGTTGGTGCCCAGAAACTCAGGTGCACTGCAGGCTGTGTGTGATGTGACATTATGCTGGCTACTTGTGGGGCTCGAGGATAGAGGCTCATGCCAGAGTGGTGTGCTTTGCACATCGCTGCTACTACGTTTCTCCAGCAACGCGTGGAGTGGGATATAGTCTTCCTTTGGAGTCTGCTGCGCAAACATACAGTAGACACAGAATGTGCATACACCCAGTGTGCACCCTTGCAGCCTTGGTAGTACCTAGAGTACATAGGCTTATTTTACTCTTGGTTGTAGCAAGAGTATAATTATAACCCCCCCCCCCCCCCCCCCCCCCACTCTTGGTTGTAGCCATACCAGTACTGCATGTTTTTTTTTTAAGACCCTCTTGGAAGCAAACATCACATTCAATATTTGTACTACCGGTATATTGTAGAATACATATCCGATATCCAGGGCATAATGATTATGTGCTTTACATCACAGGGGTGTCGGACACGGTACGGTCACTACGGTATTGACCGCACCACTTTTTGCCCCAGGCACCCCGTGAATCAATAAAATACACTGACCTGGGCTCTAAATTACCAGCATTTTCGGCTCCGCACCCCCTCCTCCTCAGTAGACTGTGCTTCAGATGACTGACCGTACCGGCACACTACAAGTAAAGTACCTTCCAACGCCCCTGCATCATAATTGACTGTAGACCTACGTCATCACCCCAGCGTGTATTACAGGCTGGCCAGTGGCCACTCCATACAATCAAGAGTAATAGAGTATATGGGGGGGGGGGGGGGGGGGGGTATGTACTCTTGATACAATGCATCTACATGTGATTGTATACACGTGTAATGGTGTCAGCTACTGTACATGACTTTTTGTACACAACTGTTATGCCGGGGGCGGCGCTCTGGGCGTTTTCGGACATGAAAGTTTTTTTTGCAACGTGGAAAACACGGCAATCATTAGTGTTGGTGTCAATGTGGTCTCTTTGCTCCCCTAGAACCAATAATTATTCCCGTAGCTATGCAGAAGACGTTACTTTAGTAACGTCTGGCGCTAGCCAGGGTCCACACAGCTTTAATTTGGTGTTTGTTTGTGTGTTTGTTTGTTTGTGTCACGCCTGGCGCTATCTTGTATCTATCCCGTACTGTACCGTACCAGCAAAGACAGCTGGCCACAATATTTTTGTTTGTTTGTGCCATCGACATGCCTGGCGCTATCCCGTACCTGTCCCGTACCATCGAGAGTACGGTACCATCAAGAGAATGAGTATATATGCGAAGTGTATGGGGGGAATGCATTCAGTGCAGTAACATTACATTTTGTGTGGATTTGTGTGCGAGGCCGAGATCCCACTAGCAGGCTGGCTGGGCCGCCTGTCGACCAACCCGGAAATCGCATGTAGGCCGATAGCATAATAAATAAATTATAACGTATAGACCTTATTCGATAAACGTCACAATCACGTGAACCGGGGTCCCGGGAACCAGGGAGTGGCAAGAGATCTGCGCTCAGTGCACAGTGGACTCTGTGTGCGAACATAGGAGTAGATAAATACCGGTATTTTACTACTCTTTTGTACGAGCTGGGCCTTTCTTGCCACTCGTTTCTCGTACGCGTGCCCTAGCTTATGACAAATCCCTGGAGGCGAGTCCAAAAATCACGTTATCGAATAAGGTCTATATACAGTCATGTAGATGTATAGCAGGAGTCATATTATGTAAACGACTCCCTGCTGTATGGGGAGATTTTCTGGAAAGAAATACGAAGTAGGGAGACGAGTAAATGCAATCAGAATGGATGTTAGTTGCCGTCAGTATAATAATAATAAGAAGAAGAAGAAGAACGCCCGTGATCGGCAGAGTCAGCGCCGGTCCCAGGAAACGTCAGGACAGACATCCCGTCGACTCCAGAACGCCCGTCATCGGCAGAGTCAGCGCCGGTCCCATAGCTATGCAGAAGACGTTACTTGTACTTCAGTATCTCATTGAAACGTTTTTGCAAAACAATGATGTAGCTAATCAAAAGAAAATGCATTTCCATCAGTTCTAACAACATGCACGATGAGCTAGGCAACAAAGCATAGCGCAGGGCCCTGAGCTTCCAAGCTCTCTCGTTATACTACGGTTTTACTAACAATCACAGCGGAAAAGTGTGACCACGGTATCAATCCAAAGCATTCACACCACTAATTCTTCTTTCTTTACATTGGTCCAGCCAGTGTGAAGATAATAAAGAAATTCGGTAAAAAAAATTCGATAATGCATGTACTACTTGTGCCCTGTAGTCTCCTGAGTATGAGCGGAGAGTACAGATACCACAATAATATACTTAGGCTTCGGATGGAGAGCCATGGATAAATTTATAGAAAAGAAAAGGACCAAGGAGCTACAAGTTACCGGCGCTATAATAGAGAGATTAAGATGCGCGTTATTTCCGACGTGACGCGCAATTTCACGTCAAATTTGGCGTAAAACTCCAAATTTCGACGTGAGCAGCAGGTCGCTCGCGTTGATTTTTCGACGTGCGAGCAAATAACGCGAGCTGAACTTTCGCGTCACGTCAGAAATAACTCGCATCTTAACCCTTTACCGGCAGCCCCATACTTGAATGCGTCGTAAACGACGCATTCGACATGCATACTAAAACCATGCCTGGTATGACAGGAAGCATCAGCCCACGGGGATTTCCCGTGGCCCTCACACAGCCTAGGTATGATCCTATCCGTAGCTGAAGAGATCTACGCGTGTCCCATTTGATTTCATTGAGAACTGCGCGATCGAAAATTTACGGAAATACACGCGCGCCGACAATGCCGTCTGCCTCCGTCAAAACGTCGTCAGGTGCATTTCCTCTTGCGCAGTGACTTCCTTTCGTCCTCAGATGACTTCTCCGACGAGGACCTAGCAGAACTTCGCTCTGAGACCCACGACAGATTGATAAATACTTCATTCCAGCCGCCGATGCAAGCGAATTTCAAATTGCGGAGCGGAGCGCACGCCAAGTAAATTCTCACGCAAATATCGGGAGCTCCAGCCGCTGAAGACGATGTCGTCGTAATGTACCTGGAAGAATCTGATGGTGCTTATGGTGTGGAAGCCATGGAGAGTGATCCCCGTGTCGACAGTCTTCCAGAGACGGAATTTTAGGCCATCGACTTTCTACGTACCTGAGTGACGGCAGCGCTGCGCGACTTGCGCACGACCTTACGGAGCCATCGGACAGCGATTTTGGGGCGATGCTGCTCTCAATTGCGAGCGAGGCACGGCCACTGAAGTCTGTGATGGCTATGGCGTTCGTTTCCGCTCTGAAGTCGACTTGTTTTGGCAGTTTCATGTCAATGTCGGAATCTGACGATTTGCATTGTGTACAATTTCCGTGTTTAGACGTATAGGTGCCAATTTAGTAGCGTATGTGTGTGGTATGTGAAAATAATTTTTTCCATCGTCAAGAAGTAGTACCAGACTTCCAAGAAAACATAACATGCACATACAAAATGTGCCCTCGTTGTGAGTTATTGGCATCCTTCTCAATGTTATGGATTTCATATACAAAATGCACTTGCCGGTAAAGGGTTAAAGGGGAAGTGCATCGATTTTTCAAGTAGGGCTCAGATGAAAGACAATTGGATATCGGTTCCGATGGTATATCTCTCGCTTGCGTACGGCAAGGGAAACTTGCCATATCGCCGATTTCCTGATCCCGTTTCCATGGCGACTACAGGTGATGACGCACATTCTGCTTAGCTCCGTGAGAGAGAAGGTCGATCACTGCAGTGTCATTTTCAGTTGTCTTCTTGTATTCACGAAGTGAAAGAAGTACTGTGTTCAATGCTGTTAGTGCCGTGAACTGTTTATTAGTAGTCCTCTCCGTTGTGTACTGGGACGTGACACCGACAGGGGAAAGCTGGAGTGCGGAGACGTTAGCTGGCAAGCGAAAATCGTGACGAACCAAGTGCTGAAATCTTGGTTGGGACAAATCAAATGTTCAGCATTTACCTCAACCAAGGACCATGCCGTTTGCTCTTTTCACTTCCTGAAGATGGATGCGCTGCCTGCTGTAGACTCTCCTATCTCTCGTAACATCTTCTGAAGCCAGGTGAGACGACGAGTAGCGGAGATTGGCGAACGAAATAATGTCGTATGTTTTGAAATTTTGCTGCTCAGGAGAGATGGCATTATATGAACTTAGTCCATGTGAACTCAATCAGCCCATGAACAAATGCTTTCCTTGCAGACGTGCATGTGTCTATCCAATCTACACGTAGAGATCATTCCATGCCCTCAGTGAATGGCCTATTTATAATTATATTATTGGTCCATACACTTCATCTGCATGTTGTCTCTATGGAGAAGGGTATTGTTCATTTCATAATTATGAAGAAGTTCGGGCAATAGATGCTTTCCTCTGGTACAATTCTGTTGACCTAATGTTCTTTCTAGCTTCATGGGTAGCTTAGGTGAGGTACCATCACCATCATGTTTACATGAGGGTCAACCACTGCACCGTTCTTTGTTGTGACATGACGTAAGTTATTGTAACTGCTCGCAGACTCCATAACTTCCAGCAACACCTAGCATGGTTTTCCGTCACCGTTGTGGGTGAACAAATTCCTGTCCAACATATTTATACAGACATGCCAGCACACACCATGCGCCATACACACACTTGCCCTGCCCTGTCGAGTCACAGCCACGTGGGCCCGGAGGGGCAGTGGAGAGAGAATGGGAGAACGCCGCCCCAAGGCGCCCGGGACACAAAAACAAGAGTTTGTCCGGCTACGTAGGGAGCAACACACATACATATACATATATTACACCACACACACACACACACGCACACACACACACACACACACACACACACAAAATGAGAGTTCGGGTCATCTGCCACGAGACTGACGGGACGGCCGGGGAGAGCTTCAGCAGCCGTGTCTATTCCTGCCCTGGACCGAACGGAAGCAGCGGTCGCGGGACACACAGTATTCACCACAACACGGCTCCACTGTCGTTGGGGGCTGAGCCACACACTTGTGACGGGCAAGAACGCCACAGCTAAGAAAGCAACGGCCACAGCGATCACACTGGCATGCTCCACGCTGCTCCTGCACACACTCTCTCCCTCTCTCTCTCTCTCTCTCTCTCTCTCTCTCACACACACACACACACTCACACACACGCACACACACACACACACACACGCATGTGCGCACATACTGCAAGAAAGAAAGAGAGCATGAGTGTCAGATTCTTGCATAGGAAGTGTTTATCAGCACACACTTATACATGCACATGCAGGCACTCAACGACCAACTATGCACCATGCCGTATGTTCGTCAAACATAAGATTGCAATACCAAAGAACAACATAAACAAGATCACTTACTTCGTTCTCCTCCAAGTGTGTCCTCCCCAGCCATTTCCCTAGGCGGAATGTAGCCTACGAAATGGTTTCTCTAGACTAGGAGAAGATGCTTGGTATTCGCCATCTCTCCTGAGAAATGTTCAGCAAAAATGTCAAAACATACGACATTATTTCGTTCGCTAATCTCCGCTACTCGTCGTCTCACCTGGCTTCAGAAGATGTTACGAGAGATAGGAGAGTCTCCAGCAGGCAGCGCATCCATCTTCAGGAAGTGGAAAGAGCAAACGGCATGGTCCTTGGTTGAGGTAAATGCTGAACGTTTGATTTGTCCCAACCAAGATTTCAGCACTTGGTTCGTCACGATTTTCGCTTGCCAGCTAACGTCTCCGCACTCCAGCTTTCCCCTGTCGGTGTCACGTCCCAGTACACAACGGAGAGGACTACTAATAAACAGTTCGCGGCACTAACAGCATTGAAAACAGTACTTCTTTCACTTCGTGAATACAAGAAGACAACTGAAAATGACACAATTCTGCAGTGATCGACCTTCTCTCTCACGGAGCTAAGCAGAATGTGCGTCATCACCTGTAGTCGCCATGGAAACGGGATCAGGAAATCGGCGATATGGCAAGTTTCCCTTGCCGTACGCAAGCGAGAGATATACCATCGGAACCGATATCCAATTGTCTTTCATCTGAGCCCTACTTGAAAAATCGATGCACTTCCCCTTTAACCTCTCTAATGTCCACTAACACCACCGATTACTTGACAATCAGCTCATGCAATAACATTCCACGACACTGGCCTCGAAGTATATCGGTTGAACCTCATGTACACAGTCTTGCCTGCACAGTACTGCTACACAGTATTCTGAGATAAAAGATTGGTAGAGCCTAGCATAATGGCTTTGCATATCTTCAACAACAACAAAAACCCTCCCCCTATCACGACACATGCGGAAAACCCATAGCACCATCTCGAAACCACAATGTCACTATTGTGTAGATCTGTCTCAGTACATACATGTACACTGGAATACAAAATAATAATTGTCTTCACTCACTCACCGCCATTCCATACTGGACAGGGACTTTCCCGGCTCGAGACTGGCCTACATGTAGAGCATGCGATGGATCCGACACTGGCGATAGTAGATCATAATATAGATCGGAGAGAGTGTCGTGTGGCCCGGAGCTCCTTGGAAGAGCAACCTCCATGTTTATAGCAATGCCTCCAGAGGCCATTCTTCACACGCAGTAGGGGAGGCGAGCACGGGTTCCTGATGCAGCGGAGATCTATTTCAACGCGGGTACGAGTACCAAACACTACAACTTCGTAAAGTGGCTCCCTGGAAACGGTTTGGAATGCATTCACCCTAACATGGGGTGATGTGAATAGCCAGGGACCATTCATGAATGGATTCAACATCGTTTCGCGGTCATAACTCAATCAAACGCACTCAACTCTTTCTGCTTGCGTGACCAGTTGAGTTCCAACACTGGAACGTCACTTGATACTTGCTCATGGTACCACTTGAGCTGTTTGTAAACAACAGTTACCTTGAGATTTAGAGAAGGGAAGGCTGGGCAGGGCGGCGCAAACAGATTCTTTGTCAGCGGTCTACCTCCCGTGAGTTCTGCGGAATGAAGAGTGACGTCCTTTTGATTGGGGTCTTCATGTCTTTTTGTCCGGTGC